AAGAGACCTGAATGTTTTTTAACAAAGAGTGATGACAGTGGACAACAACGACAACAATAGACAATTATAAAAGATGCATACAAATTTTTTTTTTTTTTTTTACAAGTTAAAATAAAATGGCAACCAAAAGGACAGTCAAAAGGAAAAGTAACGAAAAAACAGCTCGATTGTAAGGAGTAGAATACTAAAAACAGGAACATGATATATCAATGTTTATCTGTCTATTATCAATGTTTACCTTTTCACGTCTCAACTGTTACAACTCTAATTCTGCCTTGTAGAGCCCGACTCATATGGAAATTTTGGCTATCGCCGATACCGATATTGGTAGGGGCAAGCAACTGCGGGTAACCGATATAATGGCTGAAAATTTTGATCTTTGTCTCCCTCCCCCCGCCCAAGAATCTAAGTAAACAGCGAGTGGAGCAGGCCTTGTTTATTTAGCGCAGCTGTTAGCAACCATGACTCTAAAGCTAATCACATCCATGCTATATGTAGTCCCACAGTAGGTTTACAAGTGGAGCACTGGTCATAAAAACGGTCTTCCTAACGTGCGTTCACATTTTCTGTACTCCACTATTCACTATAAATTTATCAAATGTGTTACAAAAATGTAAATTAAACTAACGCCCTCCCCCGTTCATTGTTAAAACAGTCAGTGGGTGAAGGTATGAAGGTATGGGGAAGGTCTAATTAGAACTGACCACAGCAGTGTTGGTTTTTCTTTGTAGAGAAGTAAAGATTTCAGACAAACAATACATTTCGTTGAGGACAACAAAGTTAACGTTACTAACACTGATACCTCTACGTTAGATTTATTGTCCTGGATAAAGTTTTATAAGGCAATATCCTATAGGTTATCTAAACATTAGCTTGCTAACTTGAGGGTTGCATAGCTAATGACAAGCAGGTTGGAGGATTGACGATGATGTATTATTGTTGATTTATTTTATAGATCAGTTACAATTAACTTACCATGCTCTGTTCAGCAAACTATGCTACACAATATTTAGTTGCTCCCTGCTTTATCTGTGCTGAATGTGAACGTGAAACTTAAAGTGAACAGCCATGACTTAACAGTAGTCTTCTTGCGCCCTCTGCTGGATACATTGCTCCTGGCTAGTTCCAGCATTTTAGAAGTGAAAATTTAAAGTATTTTATATTTGTGCATAATGGGACAATTATCACCCATACCGATAGGTCCCCAAACTAGGGGTGCACCGACAAATCGGAAATCGGCCGATACCCATCCATCCATCCATCCATTTTCTTCCGCTTATCTGGGGTCGGGTCACGGGGGGTAGCAGCCTAAGTAGGGAGGCCCAGACTTCCCTCTCCCCAGCCACTTGGGCCAGCTCTTCCGGGGGAATCCCGAGGCGTTCCCAGGCCAGCCGAGAAACATAGTCCCTCCAGCGTGTCCTGGGTCTTCCTCTGGGCCTCCTTCCGGTGGGACGTGTCCGGAACACCTCACCAGGAAGGCGTCCAGAAGGCATCCTAAACAGATGCCCAAGCCACCTCACCTGGCTCCTCTCGACGTGGAGAAGCAGCGGCTCTACTCTGAGTCCCTCCCGGATGATCGAGCTTCTCACCCTGTCTCTAAGGGAGAGCCCAGACACCCTGTGGAGAAAACTCATTTCGGCCGCTTGTATCCGAGATCTCATTCTTTCGGTCACAACCCAAAGCTCGTGACCATAGATGAGGGTGGGAACGTAGATCGATCGATCGGCCGATACCTGCATGAAAAAACGATTTTACCGATTTTTTTGTGTTTTAACAACAATTGTCTGAACTTCATTTATATTTCAGATCAATACCTCATGGCCAGTTAAAACAAGTTTGTATTGTTTCTAGGATATTGTTCAAGGGTAAATTTTTCAACAAAATAATATTGGAAAATTGAAGGTGCATTGTGACCTTATAACACCTGACAGTGTCACTTATTAAAAAAAGAAATCGGTATCGGCAGGTCAGACTTTTTAGAAATTGGCGATTGGCCAGAAAACTGTAATCGGTGCACCCCTACTCCAAGTGTCTATATCGACCTAAAATACTGGCCCTACCTATATCAGTCGGGCTCTACTGCCTTGTTTGGATGGCATAACAGCAGTGGGGTTACTTCAACTCTGGAACAGCCATAAAGCATCTGAACTCGGGATTGAAATGTTTTGTGAAAATGCCTATAGAAGTGGTGTACCGGTGGGTGTATTGAACCGTTTCGGTAGGTACAGCGTGTTCGGTTCGGTCCACGTGCGTACCGTTTCAGTTATTTTTTTAACTTAAAAATTCATTAACGAGAGATTATGCACCGTGGAACTAAAGTTCCTAAGCGTGTTTCAGCACGGCGCTATTATCTTGCAGCATGCGTAGCATTAGCAGCCTAGCAGGCAACGAACAAGCCATCTCGTTGTGGTCTCCTGTTTGGAAACATTATGGCTTTTTTGTTAAAAGACAAGTGGACAAATCCAAAGCTGTGTCGAGGTACATTTATAAAATTTCTCCCAGTAAAAGGTCCGAACGAATGTCCAACTTTTGTCTTGTGGTCTTGTCTACCCATATTCACATTTTCACAGTTAACAAACTGCACTTTATAGTAAACAACCAGAATTAGTAGTCCCAGGCAAATAAATTTGAATAAAATACATCTTAAATCTGCAAACAGCCTAATAAGCCTTTTTCTCTTTTGATTATTCTTTATTTTACTTTTATTAATGAGATAAAAAGACATGGGATTGTCCTGCCAGTAAATTAAATCTTGGTTAGAATGGAGTCAGATCCGGTCTCATGGAGGAAGCTGAGCATCATCAGTAACATCTGTAGACTCATCAATGGCTCTGAACAGCTGCATCCAGCTGTGCCAGCTCATCATCTGCTAATATTTCTGATTTTCTGCTTGATGTTGAAGCTGACATCGGGATTTGTTGGATTTTTTTCACACATCTTGTCTTTTTGTTTTCCATCAAATGTTTCAGCAACAGTGTTTAAGCACTCCTTCAGGACTGTCCCGTCACTAAATGTTTTTTTATGTTTCTCCAGAATCCATGATACCTTGCGTGAACATTCAGCAGCTGCTGGGCTGTAAACGTGTTTGTGATGTAGGGTGGATCTGTCATAGTGGGCTTGCAGTTCGTATAATTTACTGCTCTCTGCTCGGCCTTCAGCAGATAAAGTTGCTCAGAAGAGAGTGAAGAGCGCTTCTTGTTTCCACTTTTAATTAATGCCACCGTTTCGGAGCATATGAGGCAAACAGGTTTTGAACTGCCTGCCAGAAGAATTAACATAAATTTCTCAGTCCATTCATCTTTAAAACAGCAGTTTACAACATCCACTTTCTTATTTTGGAGCACGACATGCCGTCTCTTCCTCTCTGCTCCTTCCCACCTCTTCTCTGGTGAGAGCTCGCTGCACTGGCCGTGCAGGAACAACTAAAGGTTTGATTGGCTCATTAACTGAGTGATGCTATTACTGTAACACCTGAAGTAGAGTGAACCTCCAAAACACACCTCCTGCAGCTCTGCTTGGTGCTGCACCTAAGCTGTCTGTCGCTGGAAAAATGCTCCATGAAAATGATCTATTTGCATGAATTTATCAGAATGGGCATGGGTCTGGACAGAACCATCACTGGGTCCGGATCTGGACCCAGGTCCGCCTATTAGTGACCTAGCTTTTGACAACTACCGGTAGGCATATATGTTGTTCCTGTATCGCTACGCCCGCTTACCCGTTTCATTGGTGGGTCAGGGGTTAGGTTTAAGACAAAAGTGTGAATTGAGGATGGGTTAGGTTTAGTGTTAGGTATGTACTGGGGGAGTATGTAGTAGGGAGTGGTGGCACTGGCACAGAGGTTAGAGAAGGTGGGCCTGTGATCGGAAGATCACCGGTTCAATATCAAAATATGGGTGGGATAGGTGAAGCACCCACACCTGCCTCCACCCTCATTTGCCCCACTCTGGGCCCTTGAGCAAGGTCCTTAATCTCCACCATCTGCTCCCTAGAGAGCAGCTCTGTGCTCCACACAGAGGGCTGTGGTAGCTCGGCGTCTGTGGTTGTGTCAGGAAGGACATCCGGTGTAAAAACAACCACCACGTCTTCATGCGAGTTAGTTCACTGTGGCGACCCCTGAGGAAGGGAGCAGCCAAAAGAAAAGAAAATATATACGGTATGTACTGGTAATGGTTAGGTTTAGGGTCAGGGTCAAGGGTTAGGCTATAGAAATTAATGAAGCATGAGTGGAAGTCAATGCAAAGTTCCTGTAAAGATAGAAAGACACACTTGTGTGAGTGTAAATATGTAAACTGGTCACCTCAATCATTTGAGGAAACTGTGCTTTCTAGTTTTTAAATATCTTAAAAGTATAGTTTCCTCAAATGTTTGGGGTGGCCGAAAATTCAATCAACAGTGGCCATAGTCACCATTGTCCCCCCTCTGGCTTCTCCATTGCACCTGTGCTGGATAATGTTGCTCACCAGGATCCGTCACTCTGTGCAGCCTCAAACATTATGTAACTCCAGTGGAACATCTTACACCAAAAACATTATGGTTCACTCACATTCCCTGTTCAGTTCTACTTCAGAAACGTTTGAGTAAGTCATCTGAAAAACTGCAGACGCTCAGTATTGATGCCCTCAGCCATGGGGGACATCTGTTGCTGTCCTCCTTACTAGCCCTCAGTCTTTTTTGTTTAGTTTTGGCACACTGAGTGTTCAGTTTGTAAATAAGCAAGCAGCGGAACTTTAGCTTCTACCTCCTCGTGTTCAGCTAAGTGCCTCAATTAGCTAATGTGTGCGTGTTTTGTCAGCTTGAACCTGTGTTTATGCTTGGGCACGCACTTTGGTCCTCCTCAGAGTTGGAATTACGGTTGAAGCGGAGACTAATTTGAGTAAGGGGCTGGGAGGGAGTGGTGCTTTGGGGGGGGGGGGGGGGTTGTTGAATGCAAGAGAAAATAGGACTATCAGTTCCACTCAGATAACCCTAGCTGTCATTGGACCTCGAGCCAAGTGGTGACCTCAGGGGCTTGAACTCTCTTGGTCATGTGACCAAGCAATAAAGTGACCAGTGGTGTTGCTGGGCTCCGACTGTGGCCAGAGAGAGACGGGCTGTCGTGGACAGAGGTTGCTGGGAGGAAGAGCAGAGAAAGATTAATAAGAAAACTAGACATGAGGAGAGCAGGCAGGTTGTGTTTTAGCTGAGTCCATGCTTGAATGGGGTCCAGGCAGACTGGGAGAAGCATGAAATGGATACATGGCAAGGTAAGGGCGTCCAGCTGGAAGGCTGTTGTTTTCTTTTAAATGGCCACACCAGCCATAAATAGATTTCAATGAGAGAGGGTGGGTGTGCAGTGGAGGTGGGGGTGATTCAATAGTGACTCTTTCAGTGACTTAATCCTTTACTTTTTGGTTAAAGAGTGTTTGTTTGACAGAGGTGGAAGATTTAGAGTCTGCTCAGCCTCGACGCAGTTTAACACCAGCTGCTTGTTTGTTTGTTTGTTTGTTTGTTTGTGGGGATATTAGAGAAAATATTGTTGCCTAAAATATTTATGAACAGTTGTCATTTTTAATGTGGTTTGTTTAATGCAGTTTTTAAATCTGTGCTTCAGATTTAGTTGTGACTAAAGGACGTGTGTTTTATCCCAATAACTCATATCATGTAAACCTATAAACAAATGGTATTGATTTCATTGGTCCCAGTGAGTTGATTGGAAACCTGTTTGCTTTATTTTTCATTATTTGGATCCAAACATTGTGTTTGATGTTTAATTGCTCTGTGATATTTCTTGTAAGAATATGCTGCATGGCATTCACCTTTTTTGGCAGTTTTCACATCACTGTCCCACCCACCAAACTGCCCCTCCCTCCCTGTTTCCCTTGTATTGCAGGAATTTGGAATGTGATCCCTCCTCTCTTTAGATTTACCCCACATGGCAAAGCAAAGCAAATCAACAGTTTTCTGGACTTTTAGTGTTTTTTTCTTCCTTTAAATTCATTTTGAGAGTTTGGGAGCTTCGAGTGAATTCAGCCTCTTACTCTGTGCTTTGTGCTTCTTGGAGGAAGTGCATGTGTAAGGAACCATTTTACTGTATGCATCCCCTCCCCCTCATGTTAATCCCTCCACCAGCAGCTTGTTTGTTTGTGCTGCAGATGAAGGAGTGTTAACTCCAGACCATCACTGCTGCACCTCCACCGGAGCACCTTCTGTTTTCACGCTGCCTCGTGTGAGAGGTGGCAGTCAGGCATAAAAGACTCAAACGAGTTCTGGTTGTTTCTGTGGATGTGGATTTTTTTGTTTTTGGGGGGGGGGGAGTAGATCAATGTGTGAAGATCAATAGTAGCAGTGGGCGGAGGTCAGGGACTTCTGCGACTGTAGGCCTAGCTTATGAATAGCCATTGACAGAAGTGGCCCATTCCCGCTGTGCACTGTTTCCCGGGAACATCTCCATCTGAGCGGCCCGGCTGCGTCAAACCAAACCATCAGGTCCATCATGTTGCAGATCTTTGTCTTCAAGGGTGTGTTGTTTCAACTGCACCCTTCCCCCCAGCACAAACAAGCACACGCAGCTACAAGATTCAACTATTTGATGCATTTCCAATGTAGTTTGTGTTTTCATCATTGTTCCTGTCGGCTTCACTTACACCCAGTCTACATTTATGATCACGCTTTGCTACATATTTGCATTTATTGTTTTTTTCTTATAAAACCCTAATATTTAATAAAGACTCCACATTCACTAGTTGTGTTTTTATTAAACCAAAAGAAGGATCATAAAACTTTGTGTGCTTTTATTTTGACAGTTCTCTCAGGACCTTCACAGCTTTGAAATCAGAAGAGTACTAAAGTAAAGTTTAAAGTTTATGTTGTCATTTTAATTGGGACAATTTTAAAATGAATCCCATGGATTCTCAGGCTCCAACCAGAAACAAAAAGTTATTCAACACACAAAACTTTATTTATCTTGAATTGTATTTATTTAAATTTTTTGTTTTGGGGGTAAAGAAAATACAATATTAGTAATAATATCTGATCATTTTCTTTTTTATTTTCTTATTATTATCAGTTTCTTTCTTTCATTATTTTGTGCAATCTATTGGGAAGTAAAATAAATTAAATTCTTAAATTAATCAGTCAAAATGGTGTAAATCCAACAATCACAAAAAGGAATTATTTGCTTATTTCATCAGACTGAAGCTTCAAAGACCTTTATTGTTTTTAAAGAAAATTAAAATGCTGAAGTCAAAAAGTTAATTTAGGCCCAGTCTGTCGGAGCACTGGGAACAGTGGGTTGTTGACCCTCTGTTGTTTTGTAATTTTAGCCCAGCGTGTCTCTATTGCAGTTGTACAAAAAACTATATACGTTTGGAAATATGAGGTTTTTATTTGATTTGGCCAAAAATACTTCAGTGTTTGAACTTTGTAGGGGCAGCACAGTGGCACAACTGGTAGAGCTGCTGCCTCTCAGTGAGAAGGTCGCCGGTTCAAATCCTGGTTCAGGGGCCTTTCTGGGTGGAGATTGCATGTTCTCTCCGTGCATGCGTGGGTTTTCTCCGGGTACTCCGGTTTCCTCCCACAGACCAAAAACATGCATGTTAGACTGACTGGTAACTTTAAAATTGTCCCTAGGTGTGAGTGAGAGAGTGAATGGTTGTTTGTCTCATTTGACTCTGTGTCCCTGTGATGCCAGTGATGCCCCACCCCTCACACAGTGATTGCTGGACATGGGCACTGGCACCCCCCTTGACCCAAAATGAAAGAAGCAGACGGACGGAATAGTGCATGCGAAATATTTGAGTTGAAATTACCAAAACATTTAACATGTGTTGCAACAAACTCACCTGTAAGAGAGACGTACCGCCAAACCTTGTTTAAATGTATTAACCATTTAACAACTTCTGTGTCTCAGGTGAGCATGGCATTGCTTTCCATCTTTGTTTTATTGATTACAAGCTTTAGGCCAGGTAGATATTATAAAGACAGCAGAGTCAAGAGGTCACCATTGTCTCGTGGAAGATCCCGGCCTGCATTCACCAAACTTTAAAGATTAGCATCACAGTGTGAGCTGCCGGGAATCCCACTCCCACAGGGTCTTCACCTGCCTTTAACCTCTGTGAGTGTGTTGATGTGTATTCATGTACATACCGGTCAGTTAGGGTGAGGTTCAGGTGTGTGTTCACCTCCTTTACCCCCTTCAGGGAAGAAAGATAAGTTTCAGAGAACAAGAATTTAGAAGAGGTCTGAAAGGAATAAAAGAAGCTTGGACAGGAGGAAGTAAGGGAGGGAGGGGGAGTGCCGGCAGCGGAAAAGTACAGCAGAATCCTGCAACCCCCGCTCCCTGTCTTAGCGGGGCATGATTGTGATGGAAAACCTGAAGAGAAAGAGTTCAGAGCAGGCCTGCTCTGTCAGTGGCTCAAAAGGTTAGATACCATACACTGGCTTTAGAGCACACTGGGTGTGGACAATGGGAAGATTTGGTCACAATCTAACTCAGCATGACACAACTCAGAGAGGGTTAAGAAACCTGGGTGTTGTTTTTTGTGTGACAAAGCAGAAAACAACAGCAGGTTTCTGTGTTTTTAGTAGAGCCCTAATAGATAAGCTGTGATCCCTGTGTGAGATAAAACAGCATTCTTTATGTTTCCATGTGACAAGGAAATGCATCATGTGATACGATGAAGATGTGTTTAAATTCACTGGAAACAGCCGTGGGCAACACTTCCCAACAATTCAATGAGTCAGTCGCAAAGACCAGTTTGTCTTTATGCTGCCTCTGATCGGCCATAAGTCACTGATGGATCAGAGAAACGGAGCGAACGTCACAGAACCGAAAGGCTTGAGGCAGCACTCCTGTATGTTGACATGAAGTGCAGTGCATTCATTGTGCGACAGATGTGCATTAATGTTTGAGGTTAACTAACAGTTTAAAGTAAATGCAAAGCTGCTGTACTTCATCACTGAGAAATGTGTTAGGTGTTAATTAATCTCATGACCGGGTGGTCGCTCCAACCAGATCACTTCCACACATTATTGAGTGCAAATCTGTTTTATCTTGCTTTGTGACAGAAAAGCGCATCAGGGTGGGTTGTCTTCGAGCCCCTCCACCACCTTGATCCATTCAGAAATCACACCAAGGCGACCAGTAAGATAGAAGTCCCAGCTTGAAGGGCTTTGTGAAGGAGCTTTTTGTCACTGAGTTGGTTGGCTCGCGTCTCCTGGTTTGAATTAAAGTTGGGAGTGAAACCCAGGCTGACCTCTTGGGAAACAATGCAGGCTTAATGAGCCCCGAGGGGTGGGGGCTGACTGTGTGTGTATCACATAGTATCGGGGGTTCTTACACCCGGACTATAAAAGGAAAAAAAGAGGGTGGAGTTCAAGATGAAGCGGTGCTTTTATGACATTATCATCTCCTCTGGAAGGTTTTTATTTCATCACATTTCATCATGGTTTAGGTTTATTGTTTATTGTCATATGCAGGTCAACACAAGGTCAACAATGCAATAAAATGCTCAGGACTAGAAGAACTGTCTCAACTTGCCAAAAAACAACAAACAAACAAGAAATACCAAAGCATTCAACTAAAGAACAAAATAAATATCCTGATACATGCTCAATAATCCAGGTAGAAAAATCTAAAAATGTTCAATCTGGTCCTCTGGACATTCAAAAAAAACAAACAAAAAAAACAAACAAAGCAAAAAAATATAGAAACGTTTCGTCTCTCATCCGAGAGACTTCCTCAGTCTGAGGTGCTGTATTCAGCTCAGTCTCTTAAATAGCACCTTCTCAGAGTGGATCAACCAGTTTGCTGCTGACAACCAAAACCAGCTGATCACATGCTCAAGAAGGACCATCAGCCTAACAATGGATCATTAACACCTGATGGCTGTTTACTGTTCACAGAGGGCTGAGTGATACTAGCAATCACAGCATTGTAAGAGGGGGACAGTTGAACCCGGAGGCCTCCACCCCTGTTTAATGATGGACGGTTTCTTTTCACAAAGATGGCCTCCTTTACTCCTCTCTCAAACCATCGTTCCTCTCTGTCCAGGATGTGAACATCTTCATCCCTGAAAGAGTGACTGCTGGCCTGGAGATGAGTGTAGACCGCAGAGTCCTGGCCTGATGATGTTGATCTTCTGTGCTGGTCCATCCTTTTGGCCAGTGGCTGTTTAGTTTCCTCGATGTAAGACTGATCACAGCCCTCCTGACACTGGACAACATACACAACATTACTCTGTTTGTGCCGGGGGACTGGATCTTT